TGGTAGCCCAGGCTGGCCTCGAACTCACAGAGATCCGCCTGGCTCTGCCTCCCGAGTGCTGGGATTAAAGGCGTGCGCCACCAACGCCCGGCCTAAGGCTCAGATTCTTAACTTTGGCATACTGTCTTTGTTTTAGTGGAAGGAATTCCTCTAGGACCAGCTTTTAGTGACTTTTTCCCCTTGAGACAGGATTTTGGTATGTACAGGCTGGCCTTAAACTGACCATGTATCCCAGGCTGCAGACTGGAATTCTCCTGTGTCAACTCTGAGCACGGGCACTTACAGACCTGTCCCACCACACCCAGCTCTGTTGACTGCTGTCTTTAATCCCAGCACTCAGGAGGCAGAGGCAGGCGGATCTCTGTGAGGTTGAGGCCTGCCCGGGCTACAGAGTGAGATCTAGGACAGACATCAAAACTACACAGAGAAACCCTGTCTCAAAAAACAAAACAAAACAAAAATCTATCATCTATCTATCTATCATCTATCATATATCTATCTATCTATCATCTATCATCTATTTATCTATCAAAAACATGTTGGTAGGGAGAACATTTTAGTCTTCTATAATTTGCTGAGAAAATAGTCTTATTCAAGTTTAAAATCCTTAACAAATTCAGTTAAAAGGCCTCTGTGAGACTGGGTATGAACTGAAAAGATAAATGAGACCTACATTCTTAAGAGAATTTTTCTTTTTTGTCCTGTTGCCTGGCTAGTCAATACAGCGACTAGGGCACAGAGAGCTCTTTAGCTCCCAAATAGAAAAAATAAAAATAAAAAAAGATTTAAGTAGATGAAAATGCTTACTACCCTGATCATGACAGGTGAATGTATACAGCTTATTATTACACCACACTGCCTACATTTGTACAATTAAAATAATGAACATTCTGGAAGACCCTTGTTTAAGGAATGGGAGAAAGTTCCTCCAGAACATTTGTAATTTCCTGACAAGTTCAGTGTCTCAGGGTTGCGGGGGACATGATCAGCAGAAAGATAAATCTAACTCATGACCAATTGTTCTGCCTTTTATTTTGTGACTAGGAATCCTTGCAACCATCTGTCCTCTCCCTGAGAGCTTTGGGAACTTCTGTAGGTCAGCCAGGGCTGCATAGGGAGACCTAGCTCAGAAAATTTCGTACAACCAAAAGGAGAAGTCTGCAAGGTTGCTCTCAGGCTCTCCATATATATATATTCATAGTATACTGTGCAAATGTTAGTGTATGACATTGTAGCTTCCACTGTGGGTCACTTGCTCTGAGGGAAGCCAGTCAGCCACCATGCCAGGAGGTCACTAAAGCAGCCAGCCCCTGTGGAAAGGCCCATATGACAGGAACTGAGGCAATCTTTGTACCCACAACCAGCAGCAAGCTGCCATTTCTTAGGTAAGTTATGCTCTTTAGCCTCAGGTAGGCCTCCACCCTGAGCCTGAGCCACAGGACCACCTAGGAAACTATTTGCAAGTTTTCTCTCTTTTTTTTTTTTCTTATCACGTTGCCCAGGCTATTCTCGAACTTGTGGGCTCAAGTTATCCTACAGCCTCAGCCTTCAGAGTAACTGGACCATTTGACTACAACTTTTTATTTATTTATATTTTATGCATATGAGTGTTTGCCTGCATGTATGTATGCTATGTAAGTGCCTGGTGCCTGTGGAGGCCAGAGGAGAGTGTTGGATTCCATGGAGCTGGACATGCAGGTGGTTGTGGGTCCTGGGAACGGAACCCGGGCCCTCTGGAAGAGCAGCAAGTGCTCTTAACCTCTCAACCACCACTATGGCTCCCAGTATCTCGACTGTATCTCTCTACTAAAAATTTTCTAATCCACAGAAACTATATAAAATAATAAATATCTGCCAGTTTAAGCTATTAAATTTTGTGATAACTTATTATACACTAATGTGGGAGGGGTGTGGTAATATGAATGTAATTGACCCCCATGATCTCATAGGGCGTGGCACCATTAGGATGTATGGTGTGGCTTTGTTGGAGTGGGCTGGCCTTATTGGAGGAAGCATGTCATTGTGAGGGTGGACTTTGAGGTTTCCTTTGCTCAGGATAACACTCAGAGTCTCAGTTTTCTTCCTATTGCCTGCAAGATGACTCTCAACTACTCCTCCAGTATCACGTCTGCCTGCATGCCACCATGCTCCCCGCCATGATGATAATGAACTGAACCTCTGAAACTGTAAGCTGCCACCTCAATTAAATGTTATCCTTTATAAGAGTTGCCATGGTCGTGGTGTCTCTTCACAGCTATAGAAACCCTAAAACAGGCGGGGTGGGGGGTGGGGGGCAGGGTGTGCTCTGCAAATGCTACAGTCAGTAAGGCAATGATCTGTGTGAGGCAAGGACAAAGTCTGGTTCAACTTGACTCAGTAAACGGTGTTGGTTCAAACTTCTCGAGTCTGACTCTGGGCAGTTTGTTTAGTCATATTTAAGTACAATACAATTTTGGAAAAAAGTTTCCTGGTAACAATTATCTCAATCCTGTGCTTAAGGCACGGTGACATTGAAACTCTTCTGCAAAGTACATGTTATCTCTTCCATAAGAATGAGTTCTATAGCTTAAAGGGCCTAGGGGAGACGTTGGTGTGGTCTTGCTTGTGTAGATAGTGTAGAGGTCAGCAAGTTATAAATTACATGTGACTTCTCCCCTAAGGATGGGCTCTGTTGAGTGAGAAACTGTGCTCAAGATAAAGGTCTAGGGAGGAAGGGTCTGGGGTGAACATCGTTGTCTGGGAGATTCAGGTGTGGTCTGGCCCTACAGATAGCACAGGTCCCCCGGCTGTTAACTGTGTCCACACCCAGCCTTCTGGGTGGAAAATAGGTATACATATCTTTCATTGAAGAGACAACCCTTCCTCGTTTCCCCGGTGCTTGTCTGTGAGCACAAGGACCTCGTGTCTTCTACACAGCGATATATAGTTAATATTACAAGATCAGCAAGGTGATCCTATTAGCCATGGAAGAGGATTGTCTAGTTAAGGGAATGGCCTGACTGCTTTAGAGTGAGTTATCTTCGTGAAATTCTCTAGGATGACGGCAAGGTTTGCGAAGAGCGAGCCATCCATTCACTTGCCGGTAGATGGCAGTAAAGAGAAGGGATAGGGTAGTACAACTGCCTGTGTGTTTCTGAAGAGCTGGCGCTTTACTGGACGATAGAAGGTGCATGGTTTGGAACTGACTGTGAAGTATTGGATGTTGGACGCCTAAGGACGACACCTGTAAACAGGTACTTATATGCAAACTGTGTGCCCTCTTCCTCCATCCCTATGCCTTGATGTGTGATAATATGTGGCTGGACTAAATCCTTACTGTGTCCTAGAACCTTCACATACATTTTCTCAAGACCAACCTTTTAGAAGGATATATTTGTCATCTTACCATTTTAAAGGTGAAGATACATTGCGACTTTGAGAAATAAAGCAACTTGCCTAAGATGCTACAATTGTTGTTGTTTTTGTTGTTGTTGTTGTTTATGATAGTGAACAGATCCAGCAGAAAATGCTGCCTGGGTTGATAACCTCCATCAAGAATGCTAGTAGTATGAACCGTATGCTACTAGCTGCCATGTGGGCACCATTCCTTAATGTGTGGTCATTTGTAACTAGACTGACGCCTGTCTCATCACTGACTGTTGAACTCTGCTGTTTTCTGTGGGTTGTTTGGAGGGCTCACTGAATTACATCAGGCCTCCTGCAGAATGGCTGCATGGTTACCAATGTATTATTTCCTGACACCTACTTCTAATTTGAGTACCTCTAGGGAATCAAGTTTCCAGCATGTTCTAGTGTTATTCAAGTGCCTAGAAGAATGCCAGGCAGGTACAGGGTTGATTAATGTTTAATTTAAACCCAGTTCAAGTTGAGATGTGGCGCTGGAGAGGTACATTAGTAGGTGTTTGCCTAATGCTTGAGGCCCCGTGTTCAATCCTGCAGAAGAAAGATGTCAAAATTTATTCATTCAATAAATATTTAATGACTCACACGCTGTATGGGACACTGGAAAAATACAAACAAATGATGTCTTCTTGTCTCCATAAGATACTTTTAAGCCCAGCAGAGGCAGGAGGATCTCTGAGTCCCAGGACAGCCTGATCTACATAGTGAGTTCCAGCCCAGCTAGGGCTACACAGTGAGACCCTATCTCAAAAAGGGGTGGAGGCTGGGGGGCTTTTGGTAACTGCAACTCTAGTCCTTGGGACTCCTGGAGTAGGTTTTTTGTTTGTTTGTTTGTTCTCTTAAAACTCCAGCTACACACACACACACACACACACACACACACACACACACACACACACTTTCTTTACACTTAATCTCTGAAAAACATCACATTGTTTGAAATGTTTTAACCTTTACCAAATATGCATTGTTTGAAATGCTTTGAGGCACTGTAAAAAATGTTTACACTATATGTAAATATACACACACACTCTAAGGTGTATTGAAATTTGTGTCTCCATGGAGGGCTTTCTCTATTGAGGACTTTCTACACACAAGTGTTGAGTGTTGATGGTAAAAGGCAAATTGTATATAACCATTTTGCACTAACAATAGCTAATGTTGCTGCTTAAAAAAGCTAAAAAATGAAATCTCTTACGTGTGTGTTGTTTTATGTGTATGATTGGCCTACATGTATGTCTGTGCACTGTTTATGCCTGGTGCTTATGGAGGCCAGAAGAGAGTGCTAGACTTCCTGGAAATGGAGTTACAAATGGTTGTCAAGTGCCGTGTGGGTTCTGGGAACTGAACCCAGGTCCTCTGGAAGAGCAGCAAGTACTCTTACCCACCCAGCCATCTCTCCAGCCCTTTCACAATTGTGTTAAAACTTGCTGTGTCGCCGGGCGGTGGTGGCGCACGTCTTTAATCCCAGCACTCGGGAGGCAGAGCCAGGCGGATCTCTGTGAGTTTGAGGCCAGCCTGGGCTACCAAGTGAGTTCCAGGAAAGGCGCAAAGCTACACAGAGAAACCCTGTCTCAAAAAACCAAAAAAAAAAAAAAAAAAAAAAAAAAAAAACTTGCTGTGTTTTCCAATATATACATGGGGTTTAGATTAATAAAATTCTAATTTCTCTTGCTGCTACTCATGAGGCTTTTTAGAAATATGCTGCTCTCCTAGAGCAATCTAAGAGAAATCAATTTTCTATTTTGAGAAATCTTTTATTAATTGACAATAGGAATGATTTTCCATAATCTACTCCTAACACCTGTCAAACAAGTTCTATGCTTGCATATGAAGATTAATTACCTTTACAAGATTCTGCGTGCTTGTTTGTGATGTTGGGAATTGACCCTTGGGTCTTGCCTGTGCTAGGCAAGCATTCTACCACTGATCTATATCCCAACCCTCTTTCCAAGGCTAAAAAAATAAGCGTCAGATTTCTCAAAAGTAAAATTGTTCAATTCTAGGATGTAGCTCAGTTGGTATAGTACTTGCCTAGCATGCACAAGGACCTGGGTTGGACCTACAACACCACAAAAATTAGGCATGGTAGCATATGCCTAAAATACCTCTACTCAGGAGGTAGAGGTAAAAGAACCAGAAGTTCAAGGTCATCCTTGGCTACATAGAGAGTTGGAAGCCAGCCTGGGCTACATGTGACCTTTTCTCAAAAAGCTTGTTCAGAATTCTGATCTATAACATTAAGTACAAACAAAACCACTAAACTGGTAAGTTCTAATCAACACACTAAACTCTATGAGTCAATGATGGATTTATCACTGTTCACATGATGAAGAGCAAGTTCATAGCTATAGTGTGCATTGCTTTGAGATTGCTCATTGAAACTACTACCTGACCTGGATGACTTAATTCTCCCAAATGTTCTCTCTTGAAAGGACTGAAAACTCTTCCTTTATATAGCATGGTTCAAAGTCATTGCCTTTCATTACACCTAATACTACCCATAAGACCAAGAGAGGAGAAGAACTGCCCCCTCATTTTAGAGGGTCCTATACAGACATATGCACAGACAGTTTTTTTATGTGTCTAAGTTTGCTTTCTATTACTCTGATAAAGACCATAACCAAAAGGGACTTGGGGGGAAAAGGGTTCATTTGGCTTACATTTCCACTTTGTAGTCCATCTCTGGTGAAATTCAGAGCAGGAACTGAGGATACTGGAGGCAGGAACCAAAGCAGAGGCCATAGAGGAGTGCTGCTTACCGGCTTGCTCCCTATGGCTTGCTCAGCCTGCTTTGTTGTCCTCCCACATCAATCATTAATCAAGAATAGGCCCCACAGATCCACCTACAGGCTATTGGAGGGAGGTATTTTTCAACTGCGGTTCCTCTTCCCAGATAACTGGCTTGCATGGAGTTGACACAAAACATACCGGACATTAAGGAACAAATAAGAACATCACTGGCACAGCACAAATGGAGTCCTGAACATCATCTCCTGTGACAAACAGCATTAGGCCCTATGGAAACACTTTAGGTCTCTTGCCCCATGTTCTGGAAACAAAAGGTAGCTGCGTTGGAATACTGTGGTGGTCTACAGGTTATCCTCTGCTCCTGTCATATCTGACAACACTTTTCAAAAATGCAAGGAGGGGGCTGAAGAGTTTGCTCAGTGGTTAGGAGCACTTATTGCTCATACGGAGGACCCGGGTTCAATTCCTGGGACTCCCATGTTTCACAGCCATCTGTGACTCCAGGTCCACATGTGGTGCACATATATACACTCAGGAAAACACACATAAAATAAAAGGACTCAATCTAATTTTTAAAGTGCTGGGAATAGTTGACTAGCAAAACTACTCAAGTAAGAGAAAGGAGGATTTGTGAACTTTCAAACACCTTTCTCACATCAGATGAAGTCGGGAGGGTCTTGCACAGCTGAGTGTCTCTCTAATCTCTCTTCTCTCTTGTGATTTTGGAGACACTTCTTAGTGCAGTCTTCATGCAGTGCACTGTGGCTGAGGAACATGTCTGCAACATTAACCACTCATATCCCTGCTGAGTTCCTATATATGCACATTTATATGGAACATGGTAAAGCATGAGATTGATTCTCTGCTGAAGGACAATGATAGTCCTTTCAAAACAGTTTTGTGTTGTTTTTTTTTTCTTTAATAGACTATGCCAGGCATGGTGACTCATGCCTCAATAATCCCAGAACTAGGGAGCCAGAGGAAGACAAATCTCCTCTTCCTTTAAAAAGATTGTGCTTATTTGTTTATTTGAGTATTTGTATTGAGACCAAGCTGTGCTGTGTATCTGTGCCTGACCTGGAAGTTGCTATAGAAAACAGGCTGGTCTCAAACATGTGGTGATCCCCTTGCCTTTAGCTCCCAAATGCTAGAAGATAGAACAGGTGTGCTCTACCATAGATAGCAGGATACTGTCCTCTCATAACTGTACTGCAAGGCTTGCTGGCTCTCTCCTAAAGCTTACAGGAAGGATCATACATGAGGGGCTAACTACTTGCCAATAGAAGATGCTTCAGAATGAAACCCACCTTGCTGGTGTCTTGAGCTTGAACTCTCTAGTGCCTAGAACTGTAAGAAACTAGTATCTGCAATTGAATCCCTGGTCTTTATTATGGCAGCCCCTGATAAGTTCTTTAATATAGTATGTAATGCATATTGTGACTGGAGTTTTCTCTAGTCCTGCCTGGGCCCGCAGCCACTCAGACCCAAATAAACACACAGAGAATTATATTAATTACAAACTGTATGGCCTAATGGCTCAGGCTTCTTGCTAGCTAGATCTTACATCTTAAATTAACCCATTTCTATAAATATATGCCTTGCCACGTGGCTCATGGCTTACTGGTATCTTTACATCTTGCTTTTCCTGGTGGTGGCTGGCAGCTTCTCCTGACTCAGCCTTCCTGTTCCCAGAATTCTCCTCTCTGCTTATCCCACCTATACTATACTTCCTGCCTGGCTACTGGCCAATCAGCATTTTATTTATCAACCAAATCAGAGCAACATATTCACAACATACAGAGCGATATCCACAGCAACATATGTCTTATTAAACATCACTGTAACTCCCTCCCTCCATCCTTCATTCCTCTCTCCCTCCCTCCCTCCCTCCCTCCCTCCCTCATCTCTTCCTTCCTTCCTTCCTTCCTTCCTTCCTTCCTTCCTTCCTTCCTTCCTTCCTTCTTTCCTTCGACTGTCCTTGAATGTGATTCCCCTGCTTTTATCTCCTAGGTCCTGAGATCACAGGTGTACACCACAATGCCAGATTTAGGTGATACTGGGGATCAAACCCAGGATCTCATGCTTGGTAGGTAAACACTCCAACTGACTACATCCCAGTCTACTATTTCTGGTTTTTAGAAAAGATTTATTTATTTCATGTGTATGGGTGTTTTGCCTGCATGTATGTCTGTGTAACACTGTGTGCAGTGCCTGCAGAGGCCAGAAGAAAATATCAGATCCCCAGGAACTGGAATTACAGTTGTGAGCCACCATGCAGGTGCTGGGAATCCAACCCAGGTCCCCTGGAAGAACACCTAGTGCTCTTAACTATTGAGCCATCTCTCCAGTCCTGCAGCCCATCCCTTCTAAATCTGCATAGTGCTTGAAGTTATTTAATTAGAAATTTCAATTGTTTCTATATTGGGTCAAATATTTTCTTCAAATTAAAATAATTTCAAAACTTTACTTCAAAATAAAATGATTTCAAAATTATACTTAAGAACCATAATTACACAAGATTTGTCAGCTATCACCATCAATAAGCAATGGCTGTTGTGAAAAAAATCATAAAATTTTATTATTGTAATACAAATAGTGTGGCAGTGCACACCTTTAATTCCAGCACTCAGAGGCAGAGATAAGCTGATCTCTGTGAGTTCAAGGCCAGCCTGGTCTACAAAGTGAGCTCCACTACTTATTTTGTTGATATAAAGGTAAAATCTTTTACAGTATACATTTAAAATAATTTATGAATACTTAGGTATGTATATATTTATTTTGTTATGCATTATTACCAAGATTATCCAGATATGACTAGTAACAGTTGTCTTTGATATTACACCAACTTTCCGTCATTTCCAAGTCACAGCTTTCTATTAGTTTGATTTATAAACTTTAATATTTAGACAGGTGCTGGTGGTCTAGCTGAATGGCAGAGTACTTACCCAGCAGGCACAAAGCCCTGAGCTTGATCCTCAGTACTGCCAAAAATAAAATAAAGTAAATATCTAGAAATACAGAATGTAAGCCTGTGTCTGTGTTCTTGTCCTTAGCCCCCAAATATCCAGATGGGCTTTAAAACACATTCCAGCTCCTGTTAATTCCTTATAACATATATAAGTCTAAACTGATCTATTTGATCCATCCATCCCCCCTCCCTTTCTTTTGATAGTACTTGGCATTGAACCTTTATACATGCAAAGCAAATCATCTACCACAGAGCTCGAATTCCAGCCAAATAAATGACCCACCTCCATTTTGAGCAAACTATATTATCTTTTAACACCCTTGCAAATAAATAAAACTATCACACACCAGAATTAACCAGATCTAAAGTCTATGCAGCTTAATCGACTTATGTATGGTTTGAATTGGCACTAGAAATGGAAGCTGTGAAGCTTCACGTTAAATTTTATACTTTCAGTATTATGTTTTATGCACTTAACCACCACCAAAATTAAAAAAAAAAATTAGAACGTCCTATAATCCCAGCACTTGGGAGGCAGAGGCATGCAGATCTTTGTCAGGTGGAGGACAGCCTGGTCTACAAAGTAAGTTCCAGGACAGCCAGAGCTATCATACAGAGAAACACTGTCTCAAAAAAAAAAAAAAAAAGGTCAGTTTCTAAATTAGTGGTTCTAAACCTGTGAGTCTTGACCCCTTTAGGTCGAGGGACCCTCTCCCAGGAGTTGCATATTAGATATTTATATTATGATTCATAACAGTAGCAAAAATACAGTTATGAAGTAGCAATAAAAAATTTTATGGTTGAGGGGTCACCACAACATGAGGAACTGTATTAAAGGGTCACAACATTAGGAAGGTTGAGAACCACTGGTCTAAATGAAGACATTGAGGATATATAGCAGCTCCATTTATGAATCCACATTATTTATATGGATAACAACAAAATGGCAAACAATTATGAGTTGAAAGAAAACAATTCTGGCTGAAAGTAATACTGAAGCTTTTTCTAAAACTGTATATCTATAATGGGCTTCACATCCTATGACATAATTTAATCATGCTTGTTAACACATTTTTCAAAATACATTGTTCAAAGTGAGATTGGAGAAGTGTTTGTAGAGGAGAAGGTGTTAGACCCTAAATTAACCTTAAGCCCCACCCGTGCCCAAAGATCAGTTAACTTCCTGGAATTCTGGGAGTTGTAGTTCTTGGAAAATAGTAACAAAGCCTCATGGGAAAGTACAGTGGCCTATGTGTTTTGTCCTTATAAGCCCTGACAACAGTGCCTTGGGCCACTCAACTGAAAAGTTTACATGTGGTGGTCCTGATCAAATTCCATCATGGTCAGCATTTAATATTTTAATAAAAATAGACTTTAATTTGGCCAAAATAGTGGAACTGGTTTTTCTAAGGTGAATTTCAAGATTAACAAAGGGGGCCATACAGCTGTTGAGGAGCTCTAGACTTGCTCGTAGAAATGGTCTTTGCTAACACAAAGTAGCATGTAATTAAAGTTTCTCAGCAGTGCCATGGACATTTCTGGAATCCTATCACTTTTGTAGTGGAGAAACATAGGCATAAAGTTGGAGTTACAAATACATTGCTTGTACTCAAAAGGCTGAGGCAAGAGAATTCTACAAGTTCAAGGCCAGCCTGGGCTACATAGCCAAGTTCTAAACTAGTCTAGGTTACATAATGAGACCCTGGCTTAGAAAAACCAAAAGTTCCAAACAAGTGAAAAATAACCTAAAAAAGAAAGAAGGAAGGAAAGAAAGAAAGAAAGAAAAGGAAGGGAGGGAGGAAGGAAGGAAGGAAGGAA